AGACTTTCTCAATCTCGTCGATTTCCCGCGCGATGTTGCGAAGCGCCGTGTTAATCCTCCGCGGAGAATTGTGCGTGTATGAAACAACGGTCAGATGGGCGTCATGAATCAGATTGTATTACAAAAACAAAAAAAAAAAGAGATGAAGTCTGAGAAACAAGTCGCGCGGAGAAGGTCGTCGTTTGCTGCGTGTGTGTTTCTCAACTCCGACGTCGATGCTTCGAATTCCTTGATCACCGTTCCGTGTCGCGGCGTGCACCTTAACCGGCGAAAACGAAAGAGAAGGCGCGCAACGTTTGTTGACAACGACGTATATATATAAATACGCGAGACAGAAAATATTTGCGGGCAATATATACATGTGGATTTCTTTCAAAGCGGATAAACTGGTAATTAACATCTCTGTGGAACGCAAACAAGTGACACACTTTGAAATATTCCACAACTTCAAGTGTAACGCGGCGCACAATTCACTTGGAACTTTATCTCGGCGTGCAAACTGTACACGCGGAAAACATTTGTTGGAATAACGAGCGGATTAGTTGCCGTGCGAAAAATTTGCCAATCTTATTTTTGTTTCGCCAACAAAACGTTTTTTTTTTAATGAAACAAAACAAATTCAGAGTAGACTCGACAAAAATTTTTCTTGCCGGTCGTGCAACAGCAAAAGTTTTGGAAAGAAAAACAATACTTTTTATTTAGAATACGTCATACGCGTTTCGATCCTTGTGCTAGATCTTCGGTGACAAACTACACACATCAATGAATATAAAAAAATTAATTTTGATTTGCTCATTAAAATTGTAATAATAAAAAAAACAAATTTGTTTTCCGCGTACTGTGTAAGTTTTCAGTAAAAAAAAAAATCTTTCTTTAAGTTACAATATGATATAATATAAAATTATAATTTTAAGTTAAATTATAATTATAATTTTAAGTAAAATTTTAATTATAATTTTAAGTTATAATATAATATAAAAGTTTAAGTTACAATATAATATAATATAAAATTATATAATATGATACAATATAGTTATAATATAATATAAATATCGTTAAGGATATTTGATTATATTTATTCTCTTCTCCTTTTCTCGATATCTCGGCTTTGCGATATATTATTATATTTTTGCGTAAGATTTTTTCAGACGAGAGTCTGATTATCAGGCTCGCTCATATTTGCGAACAATCTTCGCTTTACGTGCGAACGTAGCGCGCGTTTGTTTTATTTCCACTCTTTCATACAGAGTGACACGAGATCGTCAAGATTTTATATATTCCGTACTGTGTGTGTGCATTTGGCGTCTCAAGGTATACATGAAGAGAACTACACCCATACCTCCTCCTCCGCGTGGCCGTGAGAAGGCAGCAGTCGTTGCAGTTTGCGAGAAAATTGTCGCGCGATGCAAAATATCGCCGCGTTCTCCGCGCGAGGCGCAGAAATCGTGGAAAATCATCAAACGCGCGATAACGTGTTTGGTATTTCTTTTTCCCTTCCTCCTCCCCCCCCTCCGCGGGATCAGTTCGAATGCAAATTTCACTCTTTATATCTACCTGCTGCGCCTTTCGCTTTTGCAAACAACCTAAACCTGGAAGGAAGGTCGTTCGTTGCTACCAGAGAGACACGCTCGTCCAAATTCCTGCAACTTGTAGCGCCGCACTCGAAACGCACTCGGAAAGAAACGAAGGACGCCGAGAAGGGTGAAGAAACGCGTTTTGCGAACTTCACACCCGCGTGTGACGTGGCAATTTTATTTTGGGAGAGAGAAGCGCGCAAACCTCCTCCTCTCCTCCCCTCAACGATTGCGATTCGAATTCGCAACAGATCGGAGAGAGCAGAGGGACGTTTACAACCGTGTTCTCGCATACTTTCTATATATATATATATACATATATATATGTATATCGTATGTTGGAATTTTTCGCAGCGAATCTCTTCGCGCGAGCAAAAGGTGTTTCGCGACCTTTCCGAGGAGTTTCGCGCGCTCCGTGTGTGCGCGCGGGATTTCATTAAAGTCACGTACGATCGCGAGACTTTCGCGGCTGATATTTTATTGCGACTATATTATATATATCCCTCACAATGCTGCCGATTCGATCTCACACGATGCTTTGTGCTCTTTTAACAAGTACAATTAACATAAATTTGTTTATCATTTGCGCGTATATTTTCTATTGAAAAAAAAAAAATTTATCTATACTGAGAAACAATATTTGAAAAAAACATTTGTACGGCGAAACAAAGACGTCGTGCGAATTTGGTACAATCTAGTCTCTTTGTTTTGATTAATTAATTAATTAATTAATTTTTTGTATCGAACGACTTTCGGATGAGAAACTCACAAGTGATTTTTTTTTTTATCACACGAGCGATAAAACTTGCAATTTATGTCCCAGGTCTTTGTTTTATAACGAATATAATTTATTTGTTTCTTTTTGTATCGAGTGATTTTCGTGATGAGAGACGCACAAGTGATCTGTTTTTTTTTTTTTTGATTTCACAGACAGTTGCATAACAGATCAGTCTGTGTAAAAAAGTGGCACACATCGTCTGTAGGGATTGCGCATAATCGCGTATTCTTGGATAGATACACTCGGAGTGTACCGAATAATAAGGTGCATATAACGAAGCGCATACGCATTATATCCCTTATGAATATAACCAAGCGTGACGTACGATTGTGTTTTGACAATCATTTGCCAATCCCGCCGTGTTCGCGTAAGTCGTCGACGATAAGCGTAACAATGGCGAACACAAAGGCAAGATTGGCGAGGGATTGCGCGTTTACTCGTTATTTACAAATCGAGAGTATCCGCACCGCTACGGTTTCCACCACGTACGAACTACGTGGATCTCGCCGATCTCGCCCCCGCTGTCCATTATACTCCGAGACAATGAGGGGGACCAGCCTCACTCGGGTCCGAGCGAACCGCGCGCCATTGGCAAATACCGTATCGCAATATCAATTGTGCGCGCTACCGCTTCGGAACGCTCGTGACCATTGGCCATTATTATTATATCCGCGCTGTTATACGTTTGTTGAATTTTCTTTTTTGCGGTTTGCGAGCGAGATGATTTTTCGAGACAAATCTCCGTCCCAAGTACACCACGTCGCGTTACCGCAGAAACGATGACGGGGAAAACAGAACCGCGCGAGTATAAAATTTCGCAAGCGAAGACGCGGGAGGAGATGATGATGTCTCAATTCTATCTCGCGCGCGTTATTACTCAATCGACCGACGGAGTTTCGTCGAGTCGATGCGGAGTCGATTCCTTTATTCTCTTGGATTTTTTTCTAACGACATTTTATTTTTGCAAAGCAATTTTAATAAATTGCCGAGTCGCGTTTGTGAAGATTCTCGAGAATTCAAGCGCGAAATAAAATTTGTGTATGTTCAACCAAATTTGAAAAATCTAAAGCTTGTACAAAAAATGAACAATAAAAATTTAGATATGTTACAAATGATTCTATATACAAAAAAAAATATACATATGACAAATTTAATACTAATTTAATAAATATTAATTTAGCGATAAGTAAGCATTTGTTTTTTTCATGTTTTTTTTTTTTTTCATTTGTCGATGAGGAATTGACGCCCAACCGTCCCCGGGAATCTTTCATTGAAGTATAATAAGATAGAAAGTAGGACACTCTGTGTGTATAAGTATGAACAATGCGTAGCATCAGCCAGACTATAAAACGGACTCGAAGATACCGTTTCGATTTGATTATTCGATTTTACACACACCTATTTATAAATTATATAGAAACACATATATAAATATATATATATATATACCCAGATAGCCAAATGTGAAAACTCAATATAAAGCGAATCATTGTGTAAATTAAGTTGCTTGCCAGTTGCTGTTATGTTGTTTTTATTTAATGCAACCGAAAATGATTTTGTCAATTCGGTATCAATATATATTGAGTTTTATTGTCAATCCGTTGTTTTAGCCAATGTTTATGACAAGCGAGTCAGCACAATATGTGAGCAATATGTCGGCAATGATTTTTATTCAGTTGAGAAAAATAATATAAGTTTATTGTGAGCCGACGAGTTGTTAGGAACTTGCTGTTATTATATATTATTTTGAAAACTGGCAAGAACGTATTGAAAAGAGGATACGCTCTTTTTGTTACATTGCTGAAAACTTATGAGCAATATTTGTGGCAACTTGCCAACAACTTGCACTCAGTTGGCTATCTGGATATATATACAATATTTATGTACATAAATTTATTTGTACTTTACGCGGGACGACTTCCACGAGAGAATACATAACAAAAAAAAGAAAAACCTAACGGAAAGCGAATAAAAAATACAAGATGTTGACGAGCAAAAAAATTCGCAATATTTACGAATATCCTTCCCTCCATACGCTCGCGAATGAACAAATCCGCGGATTCACGGCTTAAACAAGTCGACGTGTATCCACGGATTTATGACCGCACAACGTACATAAAAGGATTTAGAAATCCTTTACATTTCTCTGTATGAAGTATCAAGGATTAACATTTTGAGAAGTCCATAACGTAGAGGACAGAGCTTTTCACACTCTATAACTTTTACTTAATCAATAAAACAATTCATAACGAGCGTATTTATATTCTTCGACCAATCAGGTAAGGTGTGTCCGAACAGTATTGTGTTTTTTACATAAACGGTCTTAAAAAAAAAAACTCTCCACAATCATCAACGCGGCGCATTCCAGCGACGGATCGTGCAAGCATTCAAATCTCTCGTTGCGAAGAAACCGCCGCCGCCGCTGATCGGCGGCCGTCGTGGTCTCTCTCTCTCTCTCTCTCTCGGTCCCGTCACTCAGGTTTTCTGCGCGTAATATCCTTCACATTCACCGCGTGTACCCATGAAAGGCTCGCGAACTGCCGACGCTCTAATGCCACAACGCGATCCGACAAAGCGACGCGCGAAGCAAGCAGGTTTTTTGAACAAGCATCATCAAAACAACGACAATGTTCAAAAGGATCGCTTACCCTCTTGATGAGCAGAAGCGACAAACGCGCAAAAGACCAGCAGCAGACGCAGAAGAAGGACTTGGCGGCTTGAGGCCGCTTCTCGTCGATTCCTCAGCATCGCGACGGACCGAGCATCGGATCCTCAGCTCATCTCGCGATCGACCGACCAGCAGTTCCCCATTCGACGCCGCGCGGAGTGTCACGTTTTCGGCGAATATCGCCGTCTCAGCGGAAGAGAGAACTGTCAAGAGTTTCGTGTTTTTTTAGCCGCGCGTTGATCGTCGACGGAAAGATACCATATCGCTCTGTACCGAAGCGACGAACGTGTTTCGTTGGCGAGCACGGCGCGCTTGTCACTGGCGAACGCGAACGTGCGAACGGGTAGAAAGCAAAATCCCACTTTCACTTGTGGCCGAGGCAAGGCGCGCGCTCGAGGCGGAGCTGGGCACGTCGAGGCCGCCTGGATCCACCGTCCCTTCCAACGTGCCGAAGATCCCTCCTTGGTCCTCTTCGTCCTCCCCCTCATCATTCACCTTCCTCTTCTCTTTCTTGTTGATGTCCCGATGTCGACAAATGCGCTTCGCTGCTGTACGCGTTTTGGCGTTCGTGAAAAATGACCGATCGCAGGATCAACGGAAGCGAGCAAAAAAAAAAAAGACGATGGCAACGACGGCGTAAATCCTGACGACAATGGCCGCAGTCCTCGCCGGGGGGATGTCTCTTCAGCGCTTTTAAACGGAAAGAATAAAGAAATATAGGATTTGCATTCTGGGGGGTTTTTGTTGAGACAAAATAAAAACAAGAGTAAAAGTTGGAGCAGTGGAAAAATCATCAACAATCTTTTTTTTACTTTTTACACACGTCATCGGTTTAATACACGTAGAAAAAAAAAATGACACGGTCTTGATAAAAAAATAAAATCTGCTGTGGTCTTCTGTGAAGAAAAATCGTTTTCTAAAAACTGCGCCGTAAAAAAAAAAAAATCACTTGTAAAAATTTATTTATTTATCCACATGTTGCGAAAAGGAGCATATCTCTTGATTGTGCCGTGACAATTTAGGGAAATGATTTGTGTACAATAATCTACATAACGATCGCGTTACTCACTGGAATGACAAGAGATACAACCGCCGGCTTGTCAGCCGGAGTTGTGGATTTCAGGGTCTCTCGACGAACACTTCCTCGACCTCCAGGCGGGCCTTCGCAAAAATTTGCTCTCTTCCAAGTCCGTCCTGTCCACCCCACCCCATCCTGTTAACTCTCATACCGGTCGTCTGTGACCTTTACCGATCCGCGCGGAGCGTCGGATGTCGGATTGATTCACATCACGGGACAGACGAGTGGATCTGGTAAAGGAGGAAGAAGAAACGTCGTTGTAGAGAGCAAGGTCGCGACGAGGAAAACGGAGAAAGTGATCGCAATTCGATCGACGGACGATCTGTCATCTTTGATGATCGCGACACGCGCTCGATACGATTTGCGATACTTTGCGAAATTTTATATTTAAATTTTTTAATTTGTTGTTACAATTTCGTTGTTACAAAAAACGACGATTATACGTGATTTCCGATGATCGATGCAACAAATTTTCGAAAGAGCGTTCTGATACCGTTTGCTAAGACGCGAGCTCGGATGGAAGATAAAATTTCGCAAGAGAAAACTCTCTCGTGAGAATTCCACAGAGTTAGATTCCGCTCCCGATATTATATTTCGCACATATACATACATATATTCCTGACGTAACCGTTCGGTGGAGTCATCGCGGCTCTTGTTTTAACTTAGCAATTTATATTCTTGCCGGGACAGTAGGAAGTGCAATGAGCCGTTGTGTATTGTAACGGTACAAGCAACGTGTGTACGTGCGCGTGGAAAGTACGCGCAAACACATACGTGTTATCTCTCCTTCTTTGTGTGTATCAAGAGAGACACGTCGGTCGTGTCTCACCAAGTTCGCGCGCGCTTTTCTACATGCTTTGAAAAACACAAAAAAAAAACTAATACATAGATATGTACCTCAGTAAAAACACGATCTTCGCTCTTTGCGTTCTACCATGTAATACCGGATATGCAAAATCGTCAAATTTGTGAAATTTTTAAAAAACGGTGGTTCTCGTTCGCACGGTGATTCCCCTCGCGCGTAAGTTTTCAATTTCTGTCGGCGATGGCGCATCGCGCGACATCCAGAGTTTTTGAATCGGATTAAGATCCGCGTTCGATCGCCAGATGGTGCCACTAATCGCCAGTTCAAGTCTCACCATCTACAGGACACATCGCCATGTACTACATCTCGACTGAGTTTTTCTTTTTTATGACAAACAATAAATCTCAACAAAAAACGATTCGCTATACTCGCTTCTCTCACTTTTATCGATATAAAAACGCGTTTCTGATCTAAATGTGTGTTTAACATTTAGTAGTGCACGTATTATTATATTTGTCACAGAACTGTAGATATAAAATTTATACGCACCGCGTCGAGAAAAGCGCGAGTTGCGAGAATACGGATAACAATAACTTTCTAAATATATATATATAAAATATCAAGATCAATCAAAATTGTTTAATAATATAATATAATATTTTTTAATGACTTGATAATATAAATTGTCAATCTTAGAGACTAATGCGTTGTGATACTCTTAAAATCAACAGTCTTGTTTGTTTTATTTTTATACTTTGCGTATCACTTTAAGATACATGTATTGTGCATTGATGTTGTTATTATTATTATTATAGTACATGATGTCACAAGTACAATTTGTTCTCAATATTTTCATTAGTCTTATTTTTAGCAATATATATAATATATATATATATGTATATATATATTATATATACTTACACTCCACTACACATACCTCCATAGCGCAATTTAAATGTTGCTGGAATTTGGCTTTCATTGGCTTTTATTGAATTCTATACAGGTAATTGTGTGTGTATGTGTAAAGTAATTCAACTTAACTACAGCTATAAATTTATTAATTTTTGTCATAGTTATAAATTTTTCTGCTATAAATTTATTCGTTTTTGTAACATCATGAATATATATATTGTATATTTCGAGGTAGACCACTCTCTTCAACTGAAACAGAGAAAAATATTTTTTTTAGATTGAAAAAGACGAGCTTAAAACGCTTCTTGTTTAAAAAAATGGCGAAGAATAAAAACAAATTTCCTCTATTTGAATATGTGTGGTTTACTTTGTAGTTGGTCTTCTCGAAGGCTCTGAAGCGGTGGGAGGAGGCGGAGGACCTCGTCGCGCTAATTCCTCCAGATAACCCATCAACAATCGAGTCCGCTCGGGAGCCGCTGCTTCCAGCACAAGAAATCTTCGGTCTTTTCTGAGAATTTCTTCGATTTCCGTTAGATGCGAGCTGTTTTCTTGCACTTTTTTGTACGTTTTGTCAGTAATCAGTTTTGTTTCCTGAAAAATCGTGGATTTTAAGGAACAATCGCATAAAAAAAAAAGAATCTTAAATGATATATTCTGTTACATTCAACAACATACCTGAAGAAGTTCTCTGAAATCAGCTTTGGCAGCGACAAGTTTGTCCTTAATATATTCCTTAAATTCCTTTTCGCATTTCTGCGAAATAATACAAAATATTAGAATAAAGAATAATATAAAAAAAAAAATTTCTCACTGATATAAAACTGAATTCTACAAAATTACAAATTACCCGATCGCTGGAAGAAAACTTCAAATATCTGGGATCGTCCTTCAATAATTTCTTAATGTCTTTCCAGGATGCTGTTAGCTCGGTCGACGCACCCACTTCGTCAAGCAATTCTCGGAATTTGTCGCGCTTTTTGCGACCCAATTGCTCAATGTGTTCGTTGAACAGTCGTTCTTTCTCTTCGCGATCTAAACTTTCGGCCAGTTCCCACCTGTGATCCTTTCGCAGTTGTCGTTTAGCTTCTCTCCATGCCAAGTCGCTGTTTCTTACCTGCAAAAACGAGCGAGAATCAAGGAATATAAAAAAATTACTACAAATCCATTGTCTTCCAGTATTGTGTGAAATTAAAAAAGCACGCACCAAATCAGCGAGAAGAGCGCTGAAGTGTTGTACAGCCTCCGCGTGACGATGATGTTGTCTCTCCTTATCTCTGTCACGAAGATGCGTGGCAAGTGTTCGTTGTACTTCTCGTTCTCTCTCACGAAGACTTACTTCCGCTCGCCTTTCACGTTCTCTTTTCTGTTTCTCACGATCCTCCTCCGAATCAGAATGATCGTCTCCCTCTTCCTTCTATGCGAAAGAAGATTACATAAAAGAAACCGAATTGCAAAAACAAGAAAAAAGATTTTTATAATAAACAAAAAAAAATAATGTGATTATTACGCACGTCATTTTCCTTTTTCACACTCTTGTCGTCACTTTCGTCAAGTTCGCCGCTTTCTTTCTCTATCACTATCTCTTTTTTCTCCTTTCCGTTTTCCTCGGTAGGCGCCTCGCTCTTACGTTGCTTCTTTTCCTTCGCGTTGTCTTTCTCAGATCTGTCCTTGCTAGATTTCGTTTCTTTACCTTTATCTGAATCCTTGCGATCCTTGTCCTTCTTGTCGGTCTTGTGATCTTTCTCTCTGTGCCGATGATCTTTATCTTTCTCCTTTTCCTTTTTCCGCTCATCCTTCAGCATTCGAACATAATCTCTAAACCAATCTTCCCGCGTGCTCGCAGACTCTACGACTCTGTATCTCCAATCCGATTCCAATTTTTTCTTACAATCGCTCCAATGCGAATGCCTGTCGATGTCTTTGTGTTCGCGTAGCATCGAAAAGAATTCCTTTTTCACCTGAAACGCATTTAACATACGAGTCTTTATCATTGAAAAATAATCACTGTTTGCTTACATACTAATTATACAATTCTTTTTTTTTTTTGTTTCTTTTTTGCATCTTTAAGATCGAAAAAATAGTTTCTTGGTTCTCTTTTTAAATCATGCACGTTTTTTAAATAAATTGTATTTCCAACCAATTTTATTTACACGTTCAGCCACATTACAATCACTCTTTATAAACGTTTTTATAAATATAATAAATGATTTGTAATGTGGATCAAACTATTTCAACTTGCAAACCTTTTTTTTTTTAATTGGTTTTCAAACTATATTTCGTTAGGGGTAGAAGAAATAGTCATTCGTGTTCGTTCGTATCAGGAGATATCACAACGTTTAAGGGCTCTATTTGTCGAATTTTTTTTTTTTTTTTTTTTTTTTAATGAACTAAGCTGGTCGTTTCTCGGCTGAAAAAAATTTATTAATTTATTATTCCTGTAAGAATGATTATTATATGTGTGAGGCCAGTCATCATTAAATCGTTAATTAAATCATTGCGAGTGTAAACAGCAAAATTCGTTCAACAAAAATAAATGTAAAACTTTGTTTTAAAAAATTTTCGCGAAAAACTCGAATTTTTTCTGCATCACATGATTTTCACTCGAGATTTAATGATGACTGAATATATAAGATAAGTGAACGTTTAATTAACTGCTGCCCTTGCTGAAAGGAAAAAAATATGGTTAGTGTGAATTATAATATATCCTTAACTCCGAAAACACTAGAAGCACTTGCAGCCGTCCAAATTACAAAACGAGTTACTAATTTTTTTTTTCTCCTACTCTCCTCCCTCTCTCTCCCTCTTCCTCTTTCTTTCTCTCTCTCTCTCTCTCTCTCTCTTTCTCCCTCTCTCTCTTTTTCGATATTATAGTCTAAACTATATGTCTCATAGAAACCCACAATTTTATGTAACGACAGTATCTCGTCATAGCACATCACATCACCGTTTGCAAAACTTGCTATATATAAGTAATAATTTTTTTTCACAAAATATATTTTCATAACTCATAAACAAAAATAAACTATGTGTAAGATTATTAAAATTAGTATACTACTAAAAAAGTTATTATATCTCGTTAAAAAACAAAGTGCACCTCTCTCCTAAGCCTCGATACTTACAGATTATAAACTGAAAGCATTAAAATAAACAAAAAATTTAGCCGTAAATAGATATTTTTAATAATTCTGATTGTCCGATCCGCGCAACGTGAGCTCGAGAATTAACAAACAAAAACAAAGTTTGAAGTTTCAAATTTTCCAAACGTTTCTTCATTAACGTAATTTGTAAAACGACCGAAAATCTTTTCGCGTTGCAAATTTTTTCGTTTCACGAAAGAACGTTTCAGATAATATTATTGAAAATATCAACACATTTAAGAAATTAGATTATTAGACAGCTTTTTGATGCTGGCACGTTAATTTCTTCAGATTGTCATAACAATAATCGAATCCTCATCCCAGAAAGAATCTTCAAGACACTCTAAGAAGCTCGTGTATACTCGAACTTGTATTTTTTTATATATATATCTGACTGAAAACAATCTATCGCATTACGCTCAGAATATTAGCAATCAACGTTTCCGAAATAATTATACACAAATAATCAAATATCTTTTTACAAAACGTTCTATTATATATATATATATATAAAAAATCTAATTATATGCTTTTGCATTGTAATTCTGTAATCTCTAAATTTTTAAGATACGTATTGCAATAAAGTTAAGTGTGTTTCCGATTTATCACGAGTAATAAGAATCGATTAAATATATATATATGCGTATATATATATATAAATATCTTAAATCATTATTGACACAATTGCTTGACAGTTTTGTAGTGTTAAATTTTAAATGTTTCTTTTTTTTTTTTAATTAAATTTGATATATCATGTATCGACATAAGAACAAGAAAATAAACATAATATTTTAAGGCTAATAATTGTATCTAATTGTATGTGCAAAATAATTGTTTGCGGACGATACGAACATGAAAACGTGAAAGAAACAACGTCAGTGCGCAATTATTACCGAAGAAAGATATTAAGAAAATCTCAGCAAGTTAAACATTATTAATTCTCATAGAATAGATTTGTTTTTATGTCCATACATCTGATACAAGTTCTATGGTAGCATTAGAATCGAGAAATTTAAAATATCTGACATCGGGATCAACTTTGAGAAGAAAAAAAAAAAGGAATTTTCCGGACTAATGCTACCTCTGGACTTTCTTTTTTTTTTTTCGTATATATGTGTCTCTCTCTTTTCTCCCTTTCATTATTAAATTAAATTGAAAAAATTTTACGTAAAAATTTCGCAAATTGGCTTTTGACTTTGAGGAAAAGTTAAATTTTTTCAAGTAACGAGGATTACGAGTAATATACAGATACCAAGTTTGTTCATTCACATGACTCTGCTTTGGAGTAAAGAATGCGGCGCGCGAGGGTGTGCCAACCGTGCCACGCGGTGTAGATGGGAATGGTAGATGACATCATCCATGCCACCAACCAGCTTCAGAACCAAGCCACTCCACATACGGAACCTGTCCTGCCTGCCTCCTGACTGAAGTGGAGAGTTCAGAACACATAAGTATATAAAGGAAGCGTCACATACTATGATTTTATTCTCTACATCTCCCATCTTAGAGTTATTAAAAACTTCTTATTTTTTTATTTATTTATTTTTTTTTTCGACTTCTATCGAGCAAAAAAATCTACTTTGGAGCACAGAATTTTTTTTTATCAGAGAAATATCTCCTCGGTATATGTGTTCTTCAGCCATTATTATTTTAGGAATTCGTACTTTTTTTTTCTTTATTTTTTTACAAGTGGAACAAAATAATAACATACCTATGAAAACCTGAAAGAAATTAAATTTAATTATCGCTGCAAAACATAAAAAAGACTTCATTAAATTATTACTAATAAAAATGTATATGTATATATATATATATATCCTCTCTCTCTCCTATCTATATAGAATTAAAAAACACGCTTTGCATCTATTCGTAATTTGATTCTTACGTGTCATTTCGCGCATTGCGAAGCTTCGCTTAATTTAAGGGTACATAGAATTCTTGAAAATCAGTAATGAGAAATAATAAATTGCGTAAACATAGAGAAGCAAGGCGCCGAATATACACAACGTATATTACAGCCCGTGCGTATAAACTTATCGCGAAATGTAGTACGCTACGTGCTACATTTATACATGCTGCTTGAAGTGATCTTCCGGCAGCATTTTATAGAACAATTTGTTATAAATCAATGACGTCTACCTGGAATGAAAGGAGAATGATTTGTTGGACAGGACGTTTAAAAAACAGGAAGTTTGGAGCTGGATAATATATGCGTTTTTCACAATATAAAGGATTTATTTATACAAACACTTGGAAAAATACGTTTTATAAAAAAAAAAAAAATATTTGTGTCAATAAAAAAATAACCAAGAAACAAGAGAAATTTCAACAATTTTCAAGACTACAATATAAACCGAAAATCAAAAGACATGTTGCGGTAATTAAAAAAAAAAAAAACAGTAAATAAAAAAATGATGAAAATAAAGCTACCAATATATGAATCTCATCAAGTTAGTGAATATGTGTGTTAAATTTAATATAAAAAAGATTTATGTTTTAACTAATAGTGAAAAAATTGTGTTAACTTATAAATCCTCTACACTTGTTAAAAAATACATACATATATATATTTTTTCTCGGGATCTTGGAAGGGAATAATATTGCTGGAAAATTCGTCTTAATTATTGTGTATCAAACGTTGAAAAAGAATTTTTATATAAAATTATTTGTATTATATAGAGCAGAAATCCTGAAAAATGTTTTGTGTTGCCACACAATGCGCCGCGTTAATAATGTTAATAAAATAAAAATACCTGTTCTCGTTTGGCTGTTTTTTCCTCTTTTTCCCTCTTTCGCACTTCCAGAAGATATTCGTTGAAAAGGCTTTCTCGTTCGCGCATCTTTTCTACATTCTTAAATCGTTCATCCCTTCCGTGCTTTTGAGCAAAATCGCTAAACGACGATCTACAAAATCGCGTTGTCAAAGTTACAAAATAAGATTATTATTACATAAATAAATAAATAGTTACATAACGCAATTGTTTGTTTATATATACGTACTTTCCATGAAGATTTGCTTCTTCGAGGAGCTTTTGAAATTGCTCCTTCCGTTCTTTCATCTTATTCCTCTTTTCGCGTCTTTCTTCTTCCGCTCTCTCCTTTACGTACTTCTCGAAAACCTGCTTCCTTTCCTTTGACATTAGAAGTAAATAGCGCGAATCAAATACTATTTTATGAAGCTCTTTTTCCCAAGTACTAAATGCAGATACCTGAAGCAACACAATTCAACACGTGTTGTGTAAGATATAAAATTTACAATAAAACAAATCATATGTGTAAAATCACATGTGATATGGTATTTACATCTTTCTCTGCGAGCATGTCTCTAAATGCCTTAATCCTGGTTTCCAACGGGACTATTGCTCGCTCTCTAGCTGCTCTCACCTCGGCCTCTATCGCTGCTTCCTTACCAATGTCGATGGTCTTCTTACCTTCTTTCTCCTCCTCTTCCTTAACAGGTGTAGCTAAAAATTCACAAAACATGACAAATCTCTAAATATGTATTCTACGATTTTTTTTTTTTTCTAAAATTCTTATTGTTGTATTATAACAAAGTTACTTTTAGTATCGTCGTGTTTCATTTTCTTTGCTGGTACGGGTTGCTCGTCGTCGCTGCTTTCGCTGGTATCCGACTGGCGCACCGGCTTCGGAGCACCCACCGCGTCCGGCGGAGTCGACACCATCTTGTCCACGTCCTGACGGCCAATAAGATCATCCGGTCTTTCCCAAACTGATATACGTGATGAAGGATTGTAGAAAAACACACGTCCGTCTCCCGTCCAAACGACGCACCTTTGCATTAAAGCATATGTTAAAAAAAATCTAATTTAATTCTCTCTTCGTTAATTATTTATATATACATATTTGTCTAAGACGCAATAAAAAAAAAAAAAAACCAAATATCGTTTAACATACCATGGAGTTCCAGGCACGGGGGTGCTAGAAATCGGTCTGGACTTGTCTTGAGGTTTAGCAGGTTCCTTCGTTCCAACGTTCTCTTCCTTCTTCGGCTTAGCGCTTTCAGCATCTTTTGTACTATCTTTGGTTTCCTGAGTGTTCTCTTGCTGGGGTTTCTCTTGTTTTGCGGGCTCGCTCGTAGTACTGTTACTTGTAACGGTGGTGGTGGTCGTAACAGCGGTTGTAACGGGAACAGTACTTGCTTCTTCGTTTTTCTGCCGCAGCGCCAATTTCGCATCTAACAAAACATTTCAATAAGATAAAATTGCAGAATTTGAAATTTATATTTACGTTATTTACGAAATTGGATTAAACTTCACAAAAAGAGAGCAAAAACATACTTTCGAGATCCTTTAAGGCTTGTGGTTTTTCCCATACTGATTCTCCAGCTTTACTATTATAATAATACAGTCTACCATCTGGCGCACGATGTTCCGTCCAAACCATAGCAGCTGCTACCAATTCAGAATCAAGTTGTGCAAGTATTGCAGGATCTTCGGCGGGTGTTTGAGGTGCCATTACACCATGAGGCATTTGTGGCATACCTAAAAAATATGTATTTTTTTTTAGTATATTCGATATTACACAAATTAATTTTTCTTTAATATATGTACAATATATATAAATTTTAATATGTTTTAAAATAATTTTCCTTGCAAGTCTTACCCCAATTTGCTTGTGGCGGCCCGTAACCGCCGAAAGGTTGAAAACCAGGTGGTGGCATTCCGAAAGGCGCTGCTCCGAATTGCGCAGGAATAGGCCCACCAAATTGATTTGGCATTCTATGTTGCATGGGAATCATATTCGGTGGTGGTTGCATCATATTCGTATTTACAGCTGGTGTAGTAATCGGTGGCGTGCTAGTAACTGTCGCGGGCGCTGTACCTATAAGATGCATAAGTTTTTTTCTATTATAAACTCGAAGAACTTCGATTGCTTCGATACATTCGAGCATATAAATGATTATATAAATGATTATAAATATTTTTCACAATTTCTTACCGTTAGATTGATTCGTCTCAGGCGCTTGATTACTGACATCTGGCGTGTCATTTAACGTAGGCGGTGGTCCGGTACCGGGAGGTGCTGTGCTTAATTGATTAATCGCATCTGCATTATTAGAAGACGATTGCTCGCCGGCTTGGGAAATTCTATTTTCACTAATTTGAGTTGGCGTACTACTTGACGAAGTAGGCGTTGTAGAGCGAGCCGTTTGCTTTGACGCACCGTGTACTAACTGTTCTAACTACAATATAAAAATATTGTATAAGTTGAGACAGTTATAATCAGATTAATCATATTGTAAATTTTATATACGTAAAAATACACAAAATAAACAAAATTATTTTATAAAAAAGACACTATTTATTTAACACTTTATATTTTCTGCTTGTTTAGAAACCTACTTATTAATATTTTGTTTCACAAAAAAGTTTAATATGTGATAGCATCTTTATATAAATTTTTAGTTTTTTTAGTTATGAATGTAGGTAAACACGTACCTTTATTATCTTCACTATTGATAATTCTTTGATCAGTTCTTTGAGTTTTTTTTATTTTACTTCTCTGCACTTTGTCCCGTGTAGACACAATTATTAGACTAATAATGGCAAAGAAAAAGGAAAGAAAAAGAGAACCAATAAATGCACCTGTCTTTATATTTGAGCATTACGTTTGAATATCATAATTAAAACTCAATAAAAATGTGCAAAGACAGTTTACAACAGTTGCAAGTTACTGACGAAATAATAATTGATAATAATAATAATTTTACGATAAAATTTGATATATTTACTAAAAATATTAAATACTTAATATTTATAAAGATTAATATTTATATTAATATTTAATATCTGATATTTATTTAATATAAAATATTAAATTATATATTATAAATATAAATATTAAATTATAGTTTAAAAAAATTTATATAAATATTGGCTTACCTGATCTTGTATCATGACCTTCACATTTGGTCCCTCTGGTTTAGTCCATGTAGTATCTCTGGTACGAATATTATAATAATAAGACTTGCCATCAGCTGCTTTAGTCTCCACCCATACTTCTCCATTGAGATCTAGACCTGGAATGTTTGCTTGCTGCTGTGACGGTTGTTGAGACGGTTGTTGTTGACCTGGAATCTATAGCATAATTTTACTTAGACATATGGTCTTTCAAACCTTTTAATTCTATAATTCTCTTTTATATATATCTATTTAAAATTGCACTTACGCTATTCATGTTAGGTGGTCCCATTCCAGGAGGAGGTCCATATGGACCTGGTCCAGTACCCATTGGACCGTTCATTACATGTGGTGGTGGCTAAATAATATTTTTTAGAATAATCATTACATACATATGTGATCTAACTTAAAAAATCTAAAGTTATTGAAAAAGAGAAATTAAACGATATATACCATTCCTGGCGGTCCCATTAAGTTTGGAGGACCCATTAAGTTTGGAGGTCCCATTGGTCCCCAACTAGGATCAAAGGGTGGCGGTACTCTAAATCTTGGACCTGCAGGACCAGGTGGACAATTTGGCCTAGGAGGACCCTCGAAAGGAAATCCATTGTTAGCTCCTCTAAACATTCCTCTTGGTCCGAATCCTCTTCCTCGAAACCTAGGTGGTCCTCCACCTCTCATAGGGAAATCAAACCCACCTCTGCCACGACCCCTTAAATTATTTTTATATGTTGTGACTAGATATCTTACTTTTATTTCATGCCACTTAGAGGAAGGAATAGATCAGAAGTATCTTTTTAACCCTTTTTGAGCAGTCCAGAAATCCAGTTTTGACTTTTAAAATAATTTTTCCCAGATACTAATCTGATCTACATGTGCACATTTGCTTTTGGGTTTTGTCTATCAATACAACATTTCTGCGCTATTTCTCTCAACAAGTAATGTTTCTACACCACTTCATTAAGTCACAATAATAATTTTATTAGAACACTACTACATAAGAAACCAATTACTACAAAAGAAAAAAACAAAACAATGGGACTCATGTATGGATATCACACTTGCGTACACATACTCCAAGTTTGAAGATAAATTTTGCCCATTCCTTGCGTATCCCAATTATCAAACCTTCTGTGAGAATATCATATATGAAAAAAAAAAAACAAAACAAATAGAAAACCCCCATAGCATACACACACTGATCGCACACCTTGTGAGTCTTTCATAGAGATCTCAAGTCAAGTAGAAACATTACAAGTTGGGGGTGGGGAGCGTGCGGGGACATGGGAATTTCGTCTGATCTGTCTAATCGTCCAGATATCGCGAAACCAGCGAGACGATAAAGCTCAGGCGTGTATGTATGTATGTATATATATATATATATATACGCACCGAAACCCGCCGCGGCCTCGCGGCATAAAATGCCTATAATCATCGCCCTCATAGTTATACTCCTCCGTCTCTTCCATGACCTCTTCATTGTGCTCCTGCTCGTTGCTGGCGACGGGCTCGGCCGCTATCGCGGCCGGTTGCTCGCTGCTCGTGTCCATTTTTGCGATAACACGCACAACAAGAGACAATTAAAACGATCAAACTTGTCGTCGGTCTCTCATACACCCATTACTAATCTACTTCGGTTAAGATCACTTTTTTCCTCGCCGTCCGAGAGAAAAATACCGCAAACAAATCACTATTTTACGCGACGCAAGCTGTAAACATATTGCCACCAACATGCGACCCGTGAATTTCCCTGATGCAAGTCAGCCTGAAGAAAACTCACTAGATGAATCTTACCTGCGGAGAGATTACTCGGCAGATTTCGCTGGTCTTGTAACATACATTTTCTAACGAAAACGATTAAAAAAAAAAAAAAAAAAAAAAAAAAACAACTCTCGACAAGCAACAAAAGACTTTAAAGTCGGAATAATTTCTAAACAATGACGAACTTTTTGTTTTGTTTCTCTTGTTTCTCTCGAATTAAATTATGCACACACACACATACACACGTACACGTCACGATAGAAACGAATGGCACTTCGTGGGTGGCGTGTGATCCTCGCCGTAGACGGCGCTGAAAACTGTCCCCACTTTTTCCACGAGTGAGTTTGTTCCCCCACCCCTGGGCCCCGATTCTTTGGGTGCGTTCAGACAACTCAACGATTGAAAGATAATCACTTATGATTGGATCATACTTTTGGAACCGTGGCAGGTTTTGAAGAATAGTCCTATCATAAGTGACGATCTCTCGACCGTTGAGTTTTCTGAACGTAACCTTTAACTCACTCGTAAGGCCTGTTCTACTGTGATTGATCAATATTTCTTGCTTCCGACTTCTGATTTATTACTAATATCTCATTGTAGAAGGGCCTTTAGGCTTGTTTTACAATACAGTCGTAAGCTGTAAGTCGTAAGAAATTGACCAATCACAGACCAATTACAGAAGAATAATCGATTGTGATTGGTCAATTTCTTACGACTTACGGCTTACGACTGTATTGTAGAACAAACCTAAAGGGTCGTCTACAATGAAGAGTTGTAGGCCGTAACAGTAAGAAATTGACAAATCACAATCGATTATTCTTCTGTACTTTTTCTGTGATTGGTCAATTTCTTACTATTACGGCCTACAACTCTCCATTGTAGACGGCTCTTAAGGCCTGTTCTACAATACAGTTGTAAGCCGTAAGTCGTAAGAAATTGACCAATCACAATCGATTATTCTTCTGTGATTTATCTGTGATTGGTCAATTTCTTACGACTGTATTGTAGAACAGGCCTAAGACATAAGAGGTCTGTTCTTTTTACCTGAACTGACCGCACTAGTTTAGAGTTCATCTGTTTCGCTCTACATTGGAAAAAGAAAGATAAACTCTGAACTAGCGTGGCCAGTTCGGTTAAAAAGAACAGACCTAAGAACGTCAACCAATCCAGCTTTTTGTTTTCAACCCCTACTTCTTGTTTCTAGAAAGCTTTGATTGGTTGATTCTCTTATGTCTTATGCGTTATGAGTTGTGCAAAATTCTTTGGCCTTTACGATACAGTTCCAATGGAATAATCGGTCTGATTCTGCGCAATAGAAAAAGGCGCGAAAACTGCTACACACATAAATAAATTGTGTATGTGTGCGTGTTTGCGTCACTTTAAAGTTTTGTAAACGTAAAGTGATAACAGTTTCAATTTAATTTCGTTTTATTTGTACACACACACACACACACGGGATAAACAGTAACAACATAATGGTGATTCCAACTACGGAATCTGCCGGGAATTTACTTTCAAAACCGGGAAATGAATTACCAGCGGAGTTTCAGAGACAACAGGTAGAATGCGAAGATCTGACTGCTGAGTTCAACGACAAGTTCGTTGATTTCTCTAAACAATTTTATCACATTTATGCCGTGAGACTGGCAGAGTTGAGAGAAGTATTGTTGCCACGAGTTGACGCAAAGTGGAGTAAGTTCTGTTGTATTTGGTGCTGTACATAGTACTATTTTTTATTTAAACAAACAGCTTACTTTTTTTAAACATACGATCGATATCATTCGTTATTTAGATTTAAAGGAATAAAAATTCGTGTGATTTTTAGAAAATATTCAGATATTGAAGTTGGCAGAGTTGGACGATTTTGAAGGACAAGATTGTGTGATAATTGGAACGCTGTACAAACATCAAAAGTGGAAGCCGTCGATATTGCAGGAATTAAGCGAGGATCATCAATTAACGTTGCCCGAGCCAAAGCCAAATTATTGTTCGGAAAATGATCAACTTTACTTGGAGGATGAAATGTTGCGAATCAAGCTGGTGGTTAGAGACGAGGACTTGAAGAACTATGTGACGGGTGTTGTATGCGCCATACTTGGTCACAAAGAAAAAGATGGAAATTTTGTGGTGAGTATATCTGTGTATTGCGCATTATAACTTCATACATGTACAAAATAATTACGTGTACTATAATAAAAATCAATAAATGTTTATTACATTAGACCAAGGATTGGTGTTTCCCTGGTTGCATGCCTAGAAGCATGCTGGTAGAATCAAAATCAAGAGGAAAATTAGTATTTCTGTCCGGACTAGATTTAGTAAACAGCTCTCAGAAGTTGTCGTTGAATCTTCTAACAGAATGGATATGCGGCATGGCAGGAGACGCGACAGCTCAAGAAGATGCTACTTCTATCACTCGAATTATTATAGCTGGTAGATATACACTGATATTCTTTTACTGTCGTACATTTATTTTCTTATATCTTAATATGTTGAGTCATTTAAGTGTAAAACTTCTCACAAATTATATATTTTTTTCATACTTAATGATCTAATATATAATTATGTATCAGGCAATTCCGTCAAAGCTGTTACCAAGACAAATACTCTAATGGGACACGCTGAAGGTAAGGCACAGGACGCCGCGATAGTAAAAGAAGTGGTTGTGGCAACGGATCTTGTGGACAAATTTCTCGCCGAAATAGCAAAATGTTGCCCCATCACTCTGATGCCAGGTCAACACGACCCCACTAACGCGATGTTGCCTCAGAAACCGTTACATCCATGTATTCTGCCGTTAACGTCTAGGTAGTGCGCAAACAAATGTACTTTGTCGTAATAGATTTTGTAAATTTTATGTTCCGACTCTTGATAGCGCGTTTTTAACAAATTTAAACATTTAAACGAACTTAAGCGTGTTCTTATTATTGTTGTAACTGTTGTCGAATTTTAGAATAGTTAATATTAAGTTAGAGTTTTTAAACATGCGCGATCGGAATATTATCACATAATTGTTTCAGATTCTACAGTTTCAAAGGCGCAACAAATCCGTGGATCGGTAGAGTCGCCGGACGTATTATAATGGGCACTAGCGGACAACCGATCGAAGATATCGCAAAAGTAACCGGCGCGACAGACATTTCTCCATTGGAGTGGCTGGAGAGAACGCTTCTTTGGAAGCACATGTGCCCAACTACTCCGGACACGTTACCGGTGCAGCCTTATTTTGCGAAAGATCCTTTTATTATAAACCATTGTCCGGATGTGTATTTTGTGGGCAACACGGATAAAGCTGAAACAAAGTTGTGGAAAGGTATAAATAATACTGTAAAATAATAAATACAGTAAAATTGTTAAGTTAAACAGATGTTAATATAGATGTACCGATTTGTGTTTTGCTAAAAACCATTTTGAAGAATGTTACTTATTCTTTCAGAATAATCTATCAGAAAATTATTTACTTCTAGGTGAAGAAAATCAAGAAGTCAGATTACTTTGTGTTCCCAAGTTTTTCTCTACACATACAGCAGTTATTGTGAGTATGGACACTTTGGATGCCGAATTCATTTGTTTTGGAGCTGGATAGGAGCATTCAAAAGAAAAAAGAAAAAAACAATCTAACAAATTTTCATTGTCAGATTATCATAGCGTTTACTGGTGTTAACAGATATATTTTTCTATTCTTACTACACTATTTAAGAAATATATATACATTGTATTTTTATATGAAAAAAAGTTGGAAGTAACTGATTTTTGATAGAAATAATTTTAGCTAACCGTTCACATGTTATTTATGCAATAAATTTATTTAAAAAATTTATAACAAAAGGATTCTTGAACATCTGAAAACAAATTTGGACACAACAGAGCAAGAGAGAAGCAATTAAAATTTGTTAACATTTTTTGTTTCTAAAAACAGAGAGATGCTCTGAACACAGATTTGTATTCGTTTTACTACTAACAAAATTTAATAGCACTCGAAAAACAATTTTGCAATAATAAAAGAAAAAAGCAATTTCTGTTGTCACTTTTTTTTTTTTTTATTTGCATCTCGTAAAAGTGATGTACAAAAGTGAAACGCATATGACTTTCAAGAATTCATAGACAATTGCCTGGTTATAAAACTTTTTAATACGAAAGAAAATACATGTAGTATCACAGACTATGAGAAAATCGCGAAATCACAGTGACACAAGACTTTCGGTATTTGTATGAACGCTTAAATTAACAAATGAATTTTTTTTTTTTTTTTTATAAGTTCACAGGTTATAATACCAATGATAAAGAACATAACAGTCAAAATACAGAGCATTAGTATTTTAAACTGAAAGTATGGTTTTAAGACAAGCAAGTTTCTGTTCCTACTTATATTTAATTCAAATGCACACGTTTATATATATGTCAAGAATATTTTTCTATAATACATGAATTTACACCTCTTGCGTACATAATTTTAATTTTTTTTTTTTTTTTTTTTATAAATGTCTTCTTACCTGTATAAAATGTAAATAGTAATATCTTAAGACACAACTCGGTCATATGACAAATAAAAATTATTAACGCTAAAAAAAAAAGAAAAAAAAAGAAAAAAAATTCTTGTATTATTATTATATAACATTATACTTAAACTGATTTTGACTGTTACATAAATTACAACACTTGCAAAATCAGGTGCAAGAATTTTATATAAATGACAAACAATTATATATATATATATACAGGGATTTGTTTAAATACAAGTTTTCACATAACCATAAAATTATTTAACATACATTTAAGCAGTGTGTTAACATTTATCTAAAAAGTCACACAGGCTGTAGTAATTTATCCATTCCTCACAAAATAGAAAAAAAAAAGCACAAAATTATATTTGGAAGGTACACAGTGCTACAGAACATTTCAGTTGGCACTTTTATTTTAAAGTGAAGAGCTGATCATGATGTAACATAAATACAGTTTTTTGTACAAAACCACTCAATCCTTTTTTTTTTTATTTTTTTATTTTTTTTTTGTACGAGATTCCATTCTTCTCTCTCTTTCAGAGTTAACATACTACTCACTATCTGTAACGGATCAGAAAAGTCAGTAATGCGAGTATACATCTTAAACGAAATATATATATATATTATATGTATGTATATATATGACGCTCGGAGTTCTAATGCTTTGGCCAAAAACAACTGCATTATTTAAAAAAAAAAAAAAAAAAAAAAAAAAAAAAAAAAAAAAAAAAAAAAAAAAAAAAAAAAAAAAAAGAAAAAAAAGAACGAGCAATAATAATTAATTAAGGTTCTTTTCATTAATTTAAGCAGAATGAAGTTATAAAATTTATATTTATAATACACTTTACAGATTCGTAATACCATTAACTTAAGGTGCAATGTTACATGACCGACAGGTATATATAACAATTGACAGGTAGCTTCTGCATATTAGTAACGACGACGTAAACATACTGTACTTTTATTAAAAGTTTTATATCCTATCTCTTAGCCGTCGGACGTATTCTCTCCTTTTCGGTGTCCCTATCGTCAGCTACTGTCCATTCGGGATCATTGGGATCTTCGCCGTCTATATCGCAACAAGCCGATTCGGTCGAGTCCGATTCGGGCGAATCCAAATCTCCGTCCTAGAAACGTAGAAACAAAAAAAAAAAAAATCATCACATCACTGACGATCGCCGCGATCACCTATACCCAAAAACTTTGGTCTCTTTGCAAAAAACATTCTATTTAAAGGTTGCAAGCTCGCATACTTTACGCGAACCAAAGGAGCAAAAACTAGAGTTCGTGTAAGAGATTTATATTTCTATACAAATGCACGGAAAATACACAACGATCGCATCGGCTTAACGAAGGTATTTTCATCGTGTAGTTGACAAAAAACGTTCGCTAAACTCTGTGTGTGTATGTGTGAGATGCGTGGAAAATAAAATAAATTTAACGTTACATAAGTAGGAAGCGTCAAGTGGCAACTGCTTACCCGGAGATAGCCTCGAGAGGAGCCATGAAAATTGGCTCAAAGTGTATTAATAAATCATTACACTCTACACTCACATTTCAATATAATTAAGATTTCTCACTTAAATACTCAGGGTATCAGTACAAGTAAAATTTACGTACATCATCGCCCTTGTCACCGTCGCGGGAGCATAAAGACGTCGACGAAGCTTGCCAGTGTCCATCCGGCATCACTTCCAACATTTTGTCATAAGCTTCCTCAGATAATGGGAATACTCTGGGCTCATACGGTACAATCTGTACATAAAATTTAAAAATATATATTGTTATTGTAATATTTAAATAAATCATAAATCAATTACATTGTGTGTGTATGTGTGTGTTATACCTCGTTTTCATCTTCGGCAAATGCAGTCGTTGCAGCATCGTCTTTTCCTAATTTTAATGCGGACATGGTACGACGTCGTAAAGAATTTTGTAAAGCAGACGGTCGGTGCGAATCCAAACCTGAGGTCTCTGTGTCCTGCACTTGAGACGGAGTGGCAGGTGGAGACGTGAAAGGTGACATCATATCTCCACCAAAGTCACTGCTCGCGTGCGGCGACATAGGATCTGAGGAAACAAAATCTTCTTTTCAAACGAAACTATTTTGTTCTAATAGGAATATTTTTTTAATATTAAGAGATAAAAACAAATTGAACAAAAATAATAAAATTTAATATAGATTTATTTACAAGTCAAAATCTGTTGACAAAACTTTGCGACTAAAATACGAGACGATAAATAGACATACCTGGCGTGTTCGCACCACTGTCTGCTCTGCTGTCAATACGACGATTATGACGAATACGCGTCTGATTTGGCATGTACGTCATGAAACGTTTATACTCCTCGCGTTCGCTGCGCTCATGCCTCAAAGCAATCGTCTCATCTGATATATCTTCAAACTGATAAACATACACAAATCAAGTGAGAGATAACGCGATTATAAAACAAATCGTGTTATTTAATTTTATTTCATTTAAATCTTGTACTCAAACTTTTTTTGTCAAGCAAACTTACATCACTATCCTGATCAGGCTTGTGCATCACACCGTTCTTCATTTCCATTTTCAACGGTTCCTCGCACAGTCTCCATCTTTAAAAGTAAGAAATAAGTTATTTCATCGTGACACAACAATCAAATATAACAATTAATTGACATTTAACTTAAACTTTAAAAAAAAACTGTAAAAGTTTTAAATTTTCAGGTATGTAAAAATGAAATATCTTACTTTGGTGTTAAAATTTCTTTGTATTGTAATTTTTCAGGCCTAGTTGAAGCGGCGACGCTATAGGGGATGACTATATTGTCAATGTCGTACGAATTCTGTCGCAAACGCCTGAAATATCAAACGGTTGTTATTGTAATCAAATAATTCCTTCGAGACAATGATGATGAAGTGACAATAACGAATCGTAATGAACGACAAAAGTTCATCCAATCAAAAGAAGGCGATCCGTCATCAACTTCGATTTTACGTATCGACGAGCGAGCTTATTAACAATAAGACAAATAGCATAGATACGTAAATGTTAAACACAAACTTACCCATGTGAATTGGAACTTTTCTCTTTAACAGTATTTTTCTCCGAGGCAGTAACATGTTGCAATGGAGAAGGCACTGGGGATGAGTGTTTGCTGGAACTTGATAGTGCACTAATGTCGTCATCATCCTCAGTTGGCAATTTCGATAATTTTTTCTTGTTTAATCCAGGCACATTTTTGTCGTGAGTAATTCTGTTTCTTTTGCCATTTTTCAACATTTTTCTCTTGATCCCTGCTTCGGAAAAAAAAATTTTTTGCTGTTACGTTCCACTCGGGGAAAAAAACCACAATCCACAATGATTCGATCTTTTTCTAAGAAATACGACAAATTGTGTGTGTAAAAACAGTTATATAAATACATACTTGCTGTGAGAATGGTTGAGGATGATTTCTTTAATCGCGCGGTATATTTTGTTCTATTAGGAAGTTTTTTGTTTCTTCTTTCGTTGCTATCTTTATCTTTTACTCGAGGAACTCGCACATTACCTCTCAACATTTTCTGCTGCCACTCCACCGATTTCATAATAGCTTCTAAGTGAGTTCCATATACAATTTCTATAAAAAAAATAAGAGAAATGAGAATAACATATGTGACGTAATACGGGGTCGGAGAATATTTTCTTATATTTATAATAAATTTTCTAGAAAAATTTACTTAGATGTCTTGCAAATTTGGCGCAAGACTCGGGCAACATTCACGAATTCCATCTCGACCGTTAAAAAAAAAGTTCTAAACTCTGAGAAACAAAAATGTTGTTTTAATTTTTATTAAGTAAGCATACCATCAGGGAATGACAACACCGGATGAAAACAAGGATCAACAAGTGCTACACGTTGCTGTACAGAAAGTTGTTCAATTGGTTCTTGCGGCTGCATTGGATCAAGCCTTCCTGTACATAAAGCACATGCGGGCAACACATGATCACAATTGCATCTCACTGTTGACGCTTTAGCTGCACGTTTCGAAACCTCGTGTAGCCTGTCCACTTGATAGAGCTTTCGCTTTTTATAATAATTCCAAACAAACGGACGTGTTCTACTGGCTGGCAATTCACCGTCGGGCGAATTGTAACGCCCGGTAGAACCCGGTAGAGCGCCACTGTATCCGTTAACAGTTTCCGCATTTTCGAGAACAACCATGCCCTTTGAGGCCCTGACATGACGCTGCAGATCATTATGCTGTCTTATTCTGTATTCTAAATCTGATATTTGTGCCTGCAGCCAGGTCCACCGTGATGCTACACCCGCACGATCCTGTGCATATCTCCATGCCGCTCTTTTGGATCTGTGCAAATAATGTAACAATACGATTGGCCTACTGATTTGACAAGTAAGGAAAAAATACCACACATACGTTGTAAAACACAGATCACTCTTCTATCTAAATAAATCTATATTATATATATATTATCTGTGGAAATTTTTACACAAACCGTGGAAGAGCTCAGGGAAAGATGAGATCACACACTATTTTAACTTTAGTTCTTATCACAAATTATTTTAAAATGTAACGCACGTGGCGACAATACCGTTATCGTAACGCACATCGACAGAGCACAAAATGTTGCCGAATAAAATCTGAATATATTGAACGTAAAAAAAAATAGCGAACAAGAGATTATTCAAAAACAGAACTTTTTTGTAAAAGAGAAACGTTTTGCAAAAACGTTTTGTAAATAAGCATTAAAGAATTCAGAACCGAGCCATAACACACACACATGTATACACACATTCGGTCTGTTTTCTTCGACTGCAATAACATGTGCTTTTTTTTTTTTTTGTTCTGTTTGTTGAATAAATAATAAGAGTTGCAAACTTTGTATCAAAAGTTCAAATTGTGAAAAAAAAACTGTCAAATCAGGTTTTGGAATTGAGAACGCAATTCTTCAATTTTGAGACACAATAATTGTCACATCTATCACAGAAAATGACCATCCAGAATAAAAATAATCTATTTGAAATAACGAATAACAATTTCTTGTTTCGCAAACCTCGAGAGAATATTGCAAAAAACAATTAAACTTGAAAAAATCGTTGAAGTAAGAATAAAAAAATCAGTAATTGAACTTTAATTAAACGATTAAAGTTCAATTACTGATTTGTTATTCTTACTTATTGTCACGCACAAGATGATTGTTTGCTATCTTAGTAAATCAAACAAAAACGTTTTTACCTTCTTTCTTAAAATTAACTTTTAATTTAGTGTTCTTAAAAAAAAAAAAGAAGAAAAAAAAACAAAGAAGCAGTAAATAAAATATCGCTGGAAAACCGATAAAAGGTAAAGTATGTAAATATATTCAACGTTCGACAATAAATGTTAAAAGTAATAAATCTCTGCTGTTGAAATGTAACTTACATAGGTAAAGGTTGTTGATGCGGATTGTTAAAAGTCTGCATCTCGTCGCAACTTTCCCCACCACTACTTGACGCTGTACAATCCGAGTCCAGATTCGATTCCACAACATGTAACTGCGTAGACAAAGATCCGGCCACACTTTCCACTTCTTCACTATTTAATTTAATCTGAGGAGTACCGAACACCGGCTGGCGATTGCCGTTATTGCCGGACGTACCGCTATTCGCGTTATCACGCGACCCTCCACCGAAGTAACGACAACACACTCTTTGACGATTAACACTGTTAGTCTGGGCAACACATATTTTCTCAATTTTTTTAAGAAACGAATGCAAACTGCCACTAATCTCAGGAAAGTTTCTCACATTGGACTTGGAGCCGATATTGACCAACTCTTGTAAGAGATATTTTTTCACTCCGTGATGGGCCAGCTCGATAACACCGGTATTCTCCTCAGCCACGTGTCTGCCGACCACTCTCGCCTGGAGCTTTCTCAGTCTTCTCAATAAAAAAGCGCATCTCCTCTCGATCTCGAATTGTTTCTGCGCGACAATGTCCTGTTGTAATTTCAAACTGTTCGACTTTTGCTGTTGGTCCACCGTGTCAACCGTAATATTCATATTTTCATTGCAAAGACTCATCACGTCAACGTCGAGTAAATCCCGTTCGAAGGACGCGAATCCCTCCTCGGGGATGGGAAACATCTCCGACACATTGTCGACGTTACCTTGCACAGATTCGCCGCTCTCAGCGGCAATGTTACCGGCGTTATCAGCGCCCTCAATCGAATTAATGACCTGTAATATCTCCTCCACGTTATGCCCGATATCGGCGACATTCGCCATACTGCATTGCTCAGCTGTGATATCGGGACCAAAGGCCATGATCTGATCAACGTCTAGATTCTTATTGTCTCCCGTTTCAGTCTCGGTAGCCACTAGGGACAAGTCCTCGCTCGATTTCAAGAAACCCATGTTGTTAGTTTGATCACCCATAGATGGGTCGTTCATTATAATATCGATCACCTTCCTCTCAGCGTTACCGGCGTCCGGCAGCGCGACCGGTCGCTCAAAGTCCTTTTGCTTTTCCGTCGTCGCCGCCGCCGCCGACGCCGCCGACGCCGACGCTGCCGCCGCCGCTTGCTGTTGCAAGCTCGCCGCACCGTTTGTCGAGTCAATCAGGTCGGGCACATCGGCAAACGCGGATAGCAAGTCGAAGTCATTAGCGTATTTCGAGTTAATAACATCGCGTATCAGGTCCTTCGAGACACCGCACAAATACTGCTCGTCGATCTTTGATGGCTGTACGTTAGCTGGAACCACAAACTTTGTTAATATCTCACGATTCTGGCAGACCTGCGTGGCCTGCTCGCCGGACAGAAATCCGCTGGCGGGCGCTGGTAAAGTAGGGAGCACGTTTTCATGCTTTTGAGGACCACCTTCCGTCAGAGCAGGGGCCATCACTGCCACCGACGCTGCCAGTGTCGCGGCCTCCACATCCAGAGGCTCCCACGACGTGCCGCAAAGTGCGCGCCCGCCGCTCCTGCGCTTCCCGTGCGCCGCGCTCACTCCCATTCATCCATTACTACGGTTCTTGTCCTGCCTCCTTTACCGTTGACTGTTTTCACTTGACTATTTTTTTCTTATCGTTAATTTCTGTTATCGTTTCTTATTCTAGTAAATAGTTTATCACTGGCCTGCCATCCTCCATGGCCACATAAAGAGTTACGTCGTTTCCACAGTCTCTCTCATGTTACTGTTCATTCACTTCCATCGTTTATCACAAGACGAAATTGCGCACCTGCAAAGAAAAAATATCACAAATGTTACACATCGTGCGCTCACACTTTGTTGTTGCGCAAACTTCACAAGCGCACACACACACATAAAAAAAATTAAAAAATGAAATTAAAAAAAAAAAAACAAACGATGCAATGATGCGAGAACAAAAAATATTTCAAATTCCGTTAAAGAAAAGTCGTCGATCGAGAAACAAAACGTGTTATTGCTCAACACGTGAACGCAAGTTGGCAATTTTCTTCAAAAGAGAATCGAGAAAAAGCTTTTGTCGGGAATAGATTCACCAAAGCCCTTTAATCATTGCTGAAACGGGGTTATCTATGCCGTTACGCAAAATCACACAGCGTTTTTAAAGCTGCGCGGTGATAAACTATGAACGCGCCGCGCGAAGAAGCACGTTGTGTGAAAGTATAAATATGCGAAATACATTAGCGTGAAACGGCGTGATAGTAAATATATATATATATATATGTGTGTGTGTGTATATATGTACACATATATATGTAATATATGTGTGCGGACTAAACTCACTTCGCGTCCACGTTTGTAGCAACGTAGCATACTTGATGTCTCGTCACAAACGTGTATCACGATGTGCTCTTCCGCGACATGAACGTCCGCCGGACGACGATGACGGATACTCGTTGGTCCTCGCAGCAATGTTGTTACAATTCGTCTTGCGAAAAACGAGGCTACTTCCCAGAGAGAGAGAGAGAGAGAGAGAGAGAATTATATTGCCGCCGGACTTTGCGCCCGCGATATATAATTCGCGCAACGCACAGGTTTTTCTTTTTTTTTTTGTCTCCACCGCGATCCCGTTCTAGTTTAACGACGAAGAACCCGATGCTGTGTTAAAACGTTTCCACCAACGAGCGCATCGAGACCGTCGGAGTCGTCTGACGCCGCGTCGCCGCGTTCGGCGTATCGTTTTTCTTCCGTGAGAGTGTCCTGAAAAAAAAGAAAATAAAGATGACAACTGGAGGAGAGAGTGTTGCGCCCAAACCAAACGATCTCGCGGTCTCTCCCAAAACAGACGCGCGCGCGCGCGCGCACAGGGAAAGCTACGAAATTAGCGATTATCAATTTAATTCTATACGAAAGCATTTCACGGTCGAGTACTCGCGTATCTCGAGAACGCGGCAGATCCGCGACGCGCTTTCAATCGAGAAAAAAAGAAGCGGTTTTGTTTCGCGCGCGCGAATATATATATATATATATATACGGTTTTATATATTCGAGAAATACTTCGTTTCGTCCCCGGAGTAAATTCTTGTTCTCGTCTCTCGGAGAGAAACGTTCTTTTTGAAATTTCTTTCGAACGGTTATCTCGAGGTTAAATGTAAATTTCCGTCGAATACAATCTGCACGCGTGAAGAAAAAAAAAAAAAAAAAAAAAAAGTGATTTTGTCGTCACGTTCTCTTGTCCCCGGTATATGTTAATAACATTGCGCTCCGGTGGTGCTTCACTTTCCAAATGTTCTTATCTTATCTTTCTTAGTATCAATCGTGTGTATCGCTAAACCCGGTAAACTTAAGCCTTAAGCCTTACGTGTTAATTATCACACAAGTGAGTCGTCTAATATTACACAATGCGTAACGAAAATCATTTGATGATCCATTTGACCAGTTGCCAAAAACAAATGAAACTTGCGCGAGATAATAAATTTCCATTCTCACCGTTTGGCTTTTGTATTAAAAAAAAAAATATATAAACAAGCAACTCGAACTCTCGACAATCTGCCTCGAAATTTTAAGGAAAAATCACTGCTCGGAGAATTACAACGGTAGTTTACGGTGTTCCAAGTTGAATAATATTGCGCAATACACACGTGTAATCGGATCGTAATATATCGTGTGCTGCAAATGTGCGAACGCGCGCGCGATTCGCTCGAGAAATAATAGAACAAAAAAAAAAAAAAGAAAAATCAGCGCGGCACAGGGTGTCGAAAACAAATGAGAGAGAGAGCGCAGACGATACGGTTTCTCTCTCTCTCCGAGAAACATTGAATTCTCGCATATAAATTCGGTGTTTCAGTTACAACAAAAAAATAAAATAAAATAAAATATTAATCAACGCGTGTTTCTTTTTTTTTGCTTCGAGAGAGAAACACATTTCGAGTCGCAAACGAAAACCAACTGGTAAAAAAAATTGCGTACTTTTTATCGAAATAAAATTCCTCTTTCTGTGTTATCGAAGCGTTTTTTTTTCTATATTACATCAATTCCAACACACGCTTCATCTTTAACGTTTAATTGAACATTTATATTGTTTATATAACGTCGAAACACTACTACAGATATAAATTGTATTATTCACAGCGTTGGGTCACACACACACACACACACGCGCGCGCGCAAAACCAAGTTGAGCATATTGCGAGTAAAATCTTCGTTTTGTTTTTTTTTTTAGAGAAAATATACCGCAAAAATCGTGCGCTGCAATAAGTAACGACGAGAAAAAAGCGTAACGCAAAGTACATGTGCAATCGCGCCGGAAGTCGGACGATATATATTTCTTCGCGTTGGGGCAATCATGCGTATTGTTGACCGAGACAGAGAGAGAGAGGAAGGAAGGGAGGTGGGAGAGAGAGAGAGAAAGAGAGACATCAGTAATTTCAGCGGAGAAAACCGCAAACTGGGATGAGAACCGGGAGCGAGTACATCCTGAAAAAGAGGTTTGGAAGGAAGAAAGGAAGGGAGAGAGGGAAGAGAAAGAGAAAAGAGAGGAAAGAGAGAGAAAACTTGGCCGGGAATGCCGGGAATACAGAGAAGAGGCGGAGAAAGAGAGAGAGAGAGAAAAAGAGAAAAAAAGAGAAAGAGAGCCAGAGCCAGAGCAGCGGGAGCGTAAAGAAAATGTCAGAAGGGAAGAGCAAAAACACGTAGGGTGGGATCAGAGCAGATTCCCGAGGGTGTGCGAATCTTCTCTTCTTTCGCTTGTGCGGGGAACACGCGCTTTCCGGTCTCGGCGCGAGTGCGCGCGGCGAGACGTGCTGTATAATTATGACGCCGCGCGGCGGATACGACGATATATATATATATATATATANANATATANANANANATATATATATATATATATGTACAACAGTATATACACACATGCACACACCGTTACGCGACGCGTCTCCGTGACCACACAGGTGAAGTTTAAGCAGCAGCACACGGTCTCTGACGCATTACCACGTGATACGCTCGCGGCGGCGGCAGCGGCGGCGGCGGCGGCGACGACGACGACGACGACAACCGCGGCTTGTGCGAAACGAGACGGGGAGAAGAACAGAGAGCGCGGCGATGAATAAAAACAGACGAGACGGAAGGAACGAGAGAAGCGAGTTGTGGTGCGCTTCTCTTCTCGCGAGACTGTCTCGTCGCGGATCCGCGTCTCCGTTTTCTATTGCATAACGCGCCGCGCGCTCCACAAATTTCGTCGAACGTACAAAAGACGGAATACGTTCGCCGCGCTGATACAACGAGACCGACGATTTTCTCCGACCGACCCGGCGATATTGTACGCGCACGCACACACGATTCTCGTTAGATTAACGTTACACCACGCGCGCGCACTCTTGATTTATTATATATATATATATATATTTATATTATATTACTGTTACACGGCGATAGAGCGATCGTCGTGAAGAAAAGTTGAAGAATCGGAAGGAATCTCCCTCTATAAACGGAGATCAATGCCGGGGAGGACAACGGACCGGCGGCGTTCATTTCGGGCGGCGGCGGTATACTGTGTGAGAAGAAGAAACACGCATGAACGTCGACGAGAGAACGCGCCGCGCGCTATAGACGGAATGTGTACACAAGAAAGAACAAATTCCTCTCTCTCTCTCTCTCTCTCTCCGGGAGCCGTGAACACAATGAACAAAACAGCCGTTGCTGCTCTCCGTTGTCCGCACGAGAGAACTCGCGCGATCAAGTAAAACACACCACAAGCGCGATTTCTCGCGTTGCCGCGCGCGAGCCAGGTGTGTGCGTGTGCGTGTGTGTCGCGTGGAATATGTATTTCCCGCGGTAAGGGACGCACACTTGTACTCTCTCTCACTCAACTCGGAATCGGCCACTATTCTACGGGATCGTCATCGCATTTCGCACTCGGTCCGGGCGGCGGCAGTATCGAGCGCGGTACTGCCGCATCGAGCACCCGAAGTACACACACACACACAAATCCGTATGCACACACACACACACACACACATACAGAGCAGGACACATACACGCACGCACACACGCACGACACGCAGGCGAAGCGGCACACGATACTTTCGTCGCGCGAAGACGCCGAGTACGCACATACATACATACATGCAAGGAACACGCCCGCGTTCCCCGTCGAACGTACGTGTGTGTGTGTGTATTACGTGTGAAGGGGGAAAAAATGAACGACCGTTTTCCTGTACTCTACTCCGTTTGCCGCCGTCGCCGCCGCCGCCGCCGCGACGGTTGTGTGCGTCGGTTTCGCGTTCGGTTACTCGCGTTGTCGTCGTACAAATGGCGGAGCAAAAAACAGCCTCGAAGGTAGAGTAGCTTCCCTCGGATTCACGGGTTACAACGCACCACTCTCGTTCCTTTCTTGCCCGTCTCTCTGTGTGTCTCTCCCTCTCTTTTCTCCATGCTTGCTCGCGCGCGCGCGCGCGATCTCTTTCTCTCTCTCCCTCCCTCTCTCTCGCGCGCGCGTTCGCTCACTCGTTCGTTCGCTCGCTCTCTCTCACTCGCACACACGCTCCCTTCTTATCTCTATCTCGCTCGCTCTCACCTCTTCGTGGCCGGGCTCGGCATGCTCTCTCGTGGGATAGCGCCGCGGGCTCTCGCGAACAATGCTCGCCTGGGCCTGGCCCTTCCAGGAGCCGTCTCGACGCAACAGCCACTCCGTGCGATTCGCCGGTTCCGTAAGTGCGCACTCCGTAACGTAGACACGTCCGTCACACCCAAAAACGTACGATAATCCCCCGTCGTCGCCGTCCGCGCTCGGCTGCTCTCGTCCACCGCCGATCTCGGTTTGTGCGCGAGGCGACGCGCGCGCGCGCGCGCGCGTTCTCTCTCTCTCTCTCTCTTTCTCTTTCTTCCTCACCGTCTGCGTCTATCTCTTTCTTTTTCCTTCTCTCTCTCTCTCTCTTCTCACGTAACTGTCGTCACGGTACGTCGTACGTGTGCACAGAGTCGGCGGACACAGCGCACTTCTCTTTCTTCCGTCAGGAACAGAGGCGCGCACACACACGCACACGACACGACGACGACACGTTCGAGAAACAGCGTCCACGCGACGATGCAAATCGTCGATTCACGCACAATCACGCGCCCAGATATATATCACGTCGGGGGCTGCTCTCTCTCGCCGCTCACGGACAGTCGCACGAGCAACGCGACGCAAGCTATTTATCAATATAACAGGGAGACACGACCAACTTCTCGCTGCTGTGTGGCTGTTGCCGTCGCGCGCAACCGACGACTGCAATCGACCAATACTTGCGGCTCTCGTAACCGGATGTGAATCTCGTAAGGACACGACGCCCAATCGGATTCGTTTGTTCGAGCTGCAACGTCGTAATCCTTAAGTCCAATTCGCAAACTACCCTCGCCGCGACTGCGCGAACGCACCGCGGTCGTAACGCGCATGCGCGACGCGATGCGCAAATTGAATCACGTTGTCCCCCGCGCTGTGAGACTGTGCCGTTCGCGCTGGCACGCGGAGCGCTAAATTCAAACTCTCGAGACTTCTTCTGGCTCCTCAAATATATCTCGCGGTCGTTTTTCGATTTTATCGACGTCAGAATCGAGGAAAGTCAAAAGAAAAATCGCCCAAAAGTTTTGCGAGTTGTTTTATTTGGGAATAAAAAATACTTCTGTGACACACACGCGCGTGAAATCGACAAGACGCGATTGCAGAATATATCAAACGCGATGTTTTTGTTATTTAACAGTCGACGCAAAATCAAGACGGCAAAATTGGGAAATAAATTTATAAATTTGGAAAATACGAAGCTTTTGTCAAAAATCACGACGTGATTTTTTCGCGTTGAATCGGAAAAAGAAAAACCGTTCGATATAATTTTAGCCGAGTTTGATTCCAAACGCGTTTGTGCGTAAACACACTCTTGCGAAAAATGCACGATACTTGGGCAATTTTCCTCATTTCTGACGTCATAAAATCCTTAGATTGCGAAGTATCGAGGAGCCTTAAAATCCATACCGCGCGGCGTTGTATTCTTCACTTTATCGTAATAATATACATATATTAATCGCACACACGCGTCCTGTATTTGAAAAACTATAATATCGGATACGAAAAAACTCTCCTCGTTGCTTGCAAAAACCGCAGTTATTATCCGTTTCCGACGTTTCTCCGTTTTTCCAAACATGGCCGCGCGTCCGGGCGGCCACGTGGTGTAAAGATCCGCGATTTTCGATCGAACGACGATCGCAAACGGCCGACGCGCGCGGACAGATTGTGATATGTTTCGCGATAACATTTTTTTTTTTTTTTTAATGGCGTTTCAGAAAAAGAAAATCGTTTCGCATTGATACAGGGTAATAACAGTTGAGTATACTCACTATATAATGCGCTCGTGTTTTTCTCGTGTATTACGCAGGATGACGCAACTCGGAGCGCGATTGTAGATAGAAATTCGGTTTGTCGGCGAAAGATAAAAAAAAAAAAAAACGTCTCGTGAGAATTGTGAATGTATTTCGATGTATATCTCACCTCAAACGTCTGACGGTTGCATCAGGTGTGTGTGGAAGTTTTCGCCGATTTATTCGTTTTGATAACGCGACACGCGAATGATTCACAGAATCGCGCCGTAAGAGGACGCGCGACGTAACGAGGTGGCGCTCCGAGCCGCCCCGGCCGGTATTGTCGATAAGTCAGTTTTTATAATTGCCGACCGATGATATAACAGTTCTTGAAATTATTGCTCTTATCGACGGTAGAGTTGTAAAACGCGTCGACGTTATCGAACGCGGTTACGCGTGACGTGTCGGTGACAGTACGCGGATAAAAGATGGCGGCGCAAGTCTCGCTTGTGGCTCCGAAGCGGCGGTGCGCGTCGTGAAAGCGGCAAGATGCGGAACAACCGTATTCGTGTGCGCGTTGAAAAATTTAAGAGTTTCGAAGAGTTAACGAGTTTTTTTGTTTTACATATAATTACGTGTACGTTTTTATTCGAGTTGTGCGCTTCGAAGTAAAGTGCGCGCCCGAGAAAAGCGCGAGGAGAGACGTGTATTCGTGTGCGTGTTGAATTTCCGAGTTTTAGATCCTGCGAACGCCGTTTTTTTCGAAGGAACATCGACCAATCAATCTGTTGCCGCGTGAGGAGGATTGATACGTACGGAGGTTTGTGGAATTTTGAAAAATAACGTTTAAATAACTTGAAAAAGTTCCGACGAAATCGGAAAAACTCGGAAAAACGCGAATAACAGGAATAAGCAAGAATGGCGAAGGAAAGAGAGAGAGAGGGATAGAGAGAGAGAGAGAGAGAGAGAGAGAGAGAGAGAGAGAAATAGAGACGTAGAGACGCGGATAAATTGTGAGGGTAGGAGCGGCGGGAGGGGGAGGGTGGAGGCGCGAGAGGGAGATATGGAAGCTAGCGTGAATATTTTTACCCAAGCCTGTTAACTATACTCTGTTATTTTAACTCACGTACGCGGCTTTTCTACCACCACCGTCGCGCGCAGCGCTGGAATATAAGTTTTAAGGCGTGTTTTGATAGCGTCAGGGCGTGTCAGCCGGGGCTTCCTACCTAATGGATCGCTTCTTCGCTCGTTCGTTCATACTTTTTGAAGAGTGCATAGCTCATGATACCGCGAAACTTCTTCTCTCTTCGATGCGTTTCCTCCCCCCCTCCCCCTCTCTTGCAAAAATTCCCGCGATTTTTTCTTCCACAATCGATAAAGTAATTGCAGACTTAAAAGAACCCGTGTTCGCTTCGAGAAGTGTGTCGTCTTTTTTCAAGGCAAATTGATTGTGTGTGTTGGTGCACATTTTTATTTTGCGCGCGCATTAATACGCGCTACATATATATCTCTCTCTCTCTCTCGAGAATTTCACATTTTTTATGAGAGAGTGGTTGGTGGCTTTGTCTCATATACAATATTTTTCACGTTCGATATTTCTTTGCAAAATTTACTTGTTTGTTTATTTTTTGCCGCATTAATTTTTCTTCGATTGCAAATAAAAGATTTTCTTTTATTTTATTCAGTTTTGCACGGAATATATATGTAATATTTCTCAATTAAAAAGTTTCTTACATTAGAATTGATTTATATTCTCTTCAATCGGAATTGATCTATTCTCTTCAAAATTGTTGCATTATATTGCAACGTCAATCTGCGGCAATCGTTACCGCGCGCAGATACAAATCCCATTATATACGTATAACGCGTGCGACAACAACAACAGTAACACACCTGCGGGACGGGAAACCAGGGTTACCACCTGCTGAGCGGAAAAACCGCTTTAGTCGGGGGCCCCCCGATTATCGCGATAATTTCTCGTAAGCGAAAGGATGAATGGAAATGGTCAGGAGAGAACGCGGATGAATGAACCGCCGCGCGTGTACGCGAAATGCGGCGTGTACGAACCCGCGACGACGGCGGCTGCGGCAGCGGCGGCGGCGGCAGCGGCGGCGGCGGCGGCGTTGTTTTGGTTATTTTGGCAAACCTAACATAACACGGCTTGTTGTTTAACAAAATAATTGATTTTGTCGCCTCGTCTCCGTGCTGCTTTGCCGTTCGTTCTCTCGTTCTCTCGTCCGGCCAACACGCGTCCTCTCTCTTTCTCATTCTCCGCCACTTTCCTCTCTTGTGTTCCTCTCTCGCATCTCTTTCCCGGTTATATCCGACCGTCCTTGTTCCGCACGTTTGAAACGGCGCGCGGCGCCGGATAGTAGCCGCTACTTAGCCGCCGTACGAAAACAAATTCCGTTCGATTCCGTTTGTTTGCCGCCGCGCGCAAATGAAGATCTCGCGCGCGCGCGCGCGCGTGGATTAGTCACTTGCCGCGAAGAACGACGACGGGGCTCGGCTTCTTCTTGGCGCCGGCGTTGACTGTCAAAGACTTCGACTGTACATCGGCGTCATCGAATCAAGCTTCCCCCGACTTGTTCTTTCATTACGTCAATTTGGAGATCTGGCTCTCAATTAATTTGTTGAAAAATATCTACATATTGATAAAATAACATACATTGTGTGTGTGTGTAAACGCGCACTTAAAAAACTCGAACGTGGAAAAAACTTGACGTAAAAATATGAGAAAATGCTAGTGCGTACGTATGACACAAATTAGAGAGAAAAACATAAAATTTAGATAAAATTCAGAGTGACATCGATGGTGACAATTTTTGAGGCGAGAAAACTGTCGTCGCGAGCGTAAGAGAGAGAGAGAGAGAGACATTGACGCTCACAGACTTTTTGCCACGAATGTTTGCTTTAGTAAAAGCGAACGAAAGAGTCGCCGCCGCGTTAAATACTAATTCGAGGTTCAACCTCTCTCTCTCGTGTCGAAGACTCTGGGGGATATCCCGGTGTCGACGACTGATGATGTCCTCGCCGCGTCGCGGTGCTTCCTCTCTTCTCGCGCGTTCGTCCCCGGCGAATGCAGAAGCGACGAAAAAGAAAAAAAAAGAAAGAGTACTCGCTTTTCGGGAGCAAAAGAAAAATATTATTTCAGATACACGCGCGTAGTAAATAGACGAGAGAGAGAGAGAGAGTTTGCGCGCGGAAAGACCTCTTGTCATCGCTCTTAATGTAATTACGAACTTGCGAACAATCGCATCGTCTATATATTGGATGACTCCGAAAGTATATATACAACTGAGAACACGTTGCAACAAAAATTGTTTGATTTGTTTGATATTTATTAATGAATATACATACACACGCGCGTGTTACACACCACGCAATACAAAAAGCGTTTCAAAAGTCTACATATTTATATAAGATGTGTAAATTATTGCTTTGTGTGTGTGTGTGTGTGTGCGTGAGTGTCCTGGAA